TCTCATTCTTCATCCATGACCTCGCTACACGTTTGGCCATACATGCCAGTGCCGAGCAAGCTCATGTTGCTGCTGTAATCCTTCAGGTTCGGCTTGCAATCCAAGACTGCGCTTGTTGTCCCAAAAACTGGGCCACCAAAATGCTCGCCTTCGCGCCACCCAAACCACGTTCCCGTCGCTGGACACGCCCAATCGCATGAGGTACAAGGAACTTATGCGACACGAATTGTGTCGAGAGCTTTTCAGGCATGGCTCTTGGCCTCGGGCTCACTCAACTTCAGTAGCTTCAAAATCTCCTCGCATCCGCAAAGTAAGACATGTTCAAAAAACCCTGAAGTCAAAGGGGCAACTCCAATCTCCTCGCAGGGCTGCCTAACCCACTAAAAGCCAGCTCCCGAGCCCACGAAGCCCACTAAGCTGCGTGTTGGCCCATGGCAAATTTACCACAGCCTTTCTGGCAAACCCATTTGTGATGGTTGGGAGCGAATGCCAGACTTGTGTTTGGAGAGGCGCAGCCCTAACTATCAACCAGATACGGCGGTCTGTGCGCTCGGGTTTTGGCAGTACGTGCGCTCGCAGGCGCGTTTTCTTGTTAACCTGTGCACGGTTCTGGTTGGCTGTCCACCCCGGTCCACGCTACCCCGGCCCGCCAAACCCCAACCTCACCCCTGCCTAGACAGCGTGGCCATTGCCTTGATAAATATAGGTGTGACACTATGACCATTGGCCTTTTGATGGCCTCCGCGCAGCTGAGTCCGGCATGAATCCCCCCATGTATCCATTTCATCCCCGAATCATCTTTGTACAGGCCGCATCGGCTGCTGTTTGCAGTGAACCATCAGCACCATCAAAGGTTCCACTCGAATGCGCCAAGATCGGCACAGCTGTAGATGGGCCATACACCAAAAGATCGTGCGCCCTCTTTGCAATATTGTCTTGAAGCGCTCTCGCCAGCCCGAAACGTGGGAATTTGTTTGATTTGTTTTTGCAGGAGTTAGATGAGGACTATATTGGCCGAGCTCTTTGGCTGCCGTGCAGGTTTTACTTTTAGTAGGCGTTGAAGCTTTTGTGTGTGTGCGTGTTGCGCTTACGTGTGCTAGTGCCAGCCAGCATCAATACATTGATGATGTGAAAACGGGCGCAAACTCCTTGGCCCTAACGGGGGCAGGCGAAACGTGTGTTTCTGGGAGCAAAAGGCTGGAAAGCGGACAAGAGCGTAAGCCGGGCTGGGAAGTTGGGAAGCTGCAAGGCCGGAAGCTGAGACGCTTTTGCAACTACAGCTCATGTGTTCTTGGACACGACAAAGACGGGATGGCAGCCAATTGTAACCAAAAAGGCAAAAAAGTCGAGGCGCCCCGAGACGGAGCCGGGCCGAAAGTTGGGGCCCGAGAGTTGGGCCCTGAGACCCAAAGTCCTGGATGGTAGGGGAGGGACGCAGAGCGGAGGGACGCAGCGCAGTGATCCGAAAGCACAGCTTGTTTAGGCTGCCCAGATTCGCAAAACTGGGCTGCTGAGGCGCTGGCTTGCTTGGATGCTGCGCCCTGCGTTCTTGTGGCGTAGCTCTTGCTGGAGGTGACGCGAAGGATGAACGGGCTTGGGAGCACGGATTTGCTGAAACCGGGCTGCTGATGCTGGCTGGGCTAGCACGCTGCGCCATGCGCCCGTTCGACGAAAACTAGACCGCCCCGCCCGTGCGCAGGTCTCTCATCGGAAACGAATTGTCCATCGCTTCGGTCATCATCATGTCTTCTCCAACTTGTCCCCGCGAACCGCTGTTCACGCGCCAGGTTGCTGATTCCTGCACCATCCCGCATGACCTGGCCGAGCGTCCCTTAAAGCCCATGTCCGAACTTGCCGATGCCGGAGTTGGGGGATCTGACAACGGGGGTAGGTGCGACCGGCTGCGGCGCAGTCTTGCCCAAGCTTCACCTGTTGGTGGGAAACCATAGCTTCAGGTTGAAGTCTCCATTGATGCAATGTTTCCAGCGAAGGCCGCCCAACCAAGTGCGGCTGTCGCGCAAGGCGTAGCGTCAGAGGACAGAGGCTTTCGGCCCAGTCAGCTCTTGGCGTCGAAAGGCGTCCGGCCGCCGTCGGTCCCGAACTCAGCTTGCGTCAACTTGCGTTGACAGTGTGTGATGCCTGCAGGGCTTCAGCTCCTGGAGCGCTGTGTCCGGAGCTGGCGCTAAAGGAGCCAGCCAAGTTCACTAGGAAGACGACTACTCCACTCAGCCTTTCTCTGGGACGTCCCCCTGAAGCCCTCAAGCACCAACATGGGGTGCGCCGGGCCTGGCAAGCGAGCAAACTCAGGGCCCTGCTGTGGAACCAAACGGGTCCGCAGCAAAGGTCAATGGCGAAGCCAGCTCGCACCCTTTTAGCTCCCAGATGCAACCAGCATGGCACAAGGCCTCTACGAAGATGATTCGGGCTGCAATGGGCACCGGGGATGAAATGGGTACATGCTGGATTGTCACTGCAAGGGCTGCTGTTTAACAAATGCGCAATAACGATTCTATCTGCCCAATTGAAACCGGCTACCAACCTGTGTGCTGTCTGACATTTCCACTCTTTCGCGCTGGGCCTGCTCGCTGGCTGCAACTTCAGGAAGCTTTCGAAACTTCTTCATGCTCTTCTCCAAATCTTTGCGGCCCTTCTCCACCATCTTTGGCTGCAAGTCCTCGATGACGCCCAGGCTCAGAAGAACAGACCCCTGCCAGGGACAAGCCAAAGCCATCTCTGCTGCTCCTTTTTACTCAAGACTTGAGTGCGTGTTTTGTATGTGACATCAGCACTCGGATCGTAAGTGCCAAGTTCTGCCTGTGAGAATCATGAATGTGCCACGCCTCAATTTCAAGGCGCAGGGGTTCTAAGGCCTTGCGGTAGCCTGCGCTTAATGGCGTCTGCTTTTCAGCTAGGGCGTTGATCTTCTTCTGATTTGGTGCAGCTGCGAACTTCTCCTTCAACTTCTCTTGCACCTCCAAGCAAACACCTCTGCCCTGCGAAAAACAAGTGCTCCCCCCCCCTCCGCCTGCCTGAATTAGGAGATCCTTGCCGATAGCCGGGCCATCCTTTGTGTCAATTTCGGCCACAGGCGGATAGCCCGTGGTCCGACGTTTGTCCAGCTCATCGGCAAGGTCCCGCACCGTGGGATAATCCAGCAGGATGGTGGAGCCCAAGGGTTTTCCCAACCACCGGCTAAGCCTGGCAAGTGAGACATGCATGCGAAGCCCGAGCTAGGCACCCCACCTGTTTGTGACCTTTACCAGTTCCAGAGAGTCGATGCCTAGCTGAAAGAAGCCCTGTGAAAGCTGCTCCTCTAACAGAGGGATGCGCAAGTCAGCCATGACCGACTTGATCTCCGTCATTGCATCCGAGCCATGAGCCTGAGGCACACTGACCTTACCATCCGTGCGATCAAGCTCGGCGGCCGCATCTGAGACGCTTGGGAAATCCAAAAGAAAGGTTGCAGGAAGATCTCTTCCCGACCACTGGCTCAACCTCAGGGGCCAACCAGCTTGACACACACACACAAACCCAGTCTCGATCGCCCGGCCTGGTGCGCACCCGAACCAACTCCAAAGAGTCCAGACCCAGCATGAAAAAACCTTTGCTGAGCTCGTCCTCCTGCAGTTCATGCTGCATCTCCTTCAAGATGTCACGGAGGGCATCGAGCGCATTGCTGCTCCGCTCGCCTTGCGCGGCTGCTTGCTCTGTTCCATCCAAGGGCGTCCAGTTTTTCACATCATACTGGATCAAGACACCAGTGCTATCATTCTCCGAATCCTCTGGACGAAAGTCGGACACCAAGCGAACAATGCGCGCTCCGTATCCTGTATGGAATCCCAACGTGCCATCACTGTGCTTGCCGCTCACATGCCGAGCAACATACTCAGACAAGCCTTTACATCTTCCAGCTTTCTTGCAGCTGGCAAACTCAGTACACCGAGTCACGCCGATCACAGTGTCAACGCTGGGGTCCAATTTTGCAAGGAGCAGTGCAAATGCCCGCAATTCGGCACCCAAACCAACAAATTGGGCATCGGGATCGGAGCTGATGGCAATGAGCTGCATGATACGACCTTTGGGGTCATGCGACTCAGAGATGGCCATGAACTTTTGGGAGTCGACCATGTCGACTGATTGAATCCGTTGAATGTAAAGAACGGCTACAGTCTTTCCATCCACCTCACAGACCAGATTTGCACAGGTCTCAAGCCTCTTTCGGAGCACTTCTGGAGTTGCTCGGAGATTGGGCGCCCACGTCTGCTCCAATTGCTCCAAACTCGGCAGGTCTGACACTTCGGCCAAGCGGATCTTGTAGGGCTTGCGCACCAAATGCTGGTTCATCATGCGGCAGTAGCCTCCTTTTTCCGGGTAGGTCTGCACGGATCTGCAGTCTGTGGGAAACAGCCCGGCCATGGCAGAGCTCAGGGCGAAGGCCACAGCAGAGACCATGTATTGCCGGGAGAGGCTCTGAACGATGTCGAAGTGGAAGGAGACGCAGTCGTTCAAAAAGCGCTGGGTGGTGGCCACGTCCAGCTGCATCACCTCCAACATGCAAAGCCCAAAGGACTCCTCCAGGGCGTCGCCCCAGCGCGCCATGTGCTCCACCAGAGACGCAAAGAGCTCCAGTGGCGCGATGGCTTTCCCCTCCTTGTCCAAGTGGACGAAGTCTTCCAGCTGTGCCTGCACGAAGCTGGCCACGCTTTCTTGCGCTATGGCTGTCTTGGCTGGGATGTAGGGCCGGTCATGGTCCAAGAAGCTCCGAACGTGCAAACACTTCTTGGAGTTCACCTTCTTGCGCTTCAGCTGGTTCATGATACTTGCGGGCTTGCCGATGTCCCCGGCGATCACGCGATGAGGCACCTGGAGCTGATCCAGGTTGCAAGCGGTGGCGACCCGGGATTTCTCGTTGAAGTCCACACCCACCATGGTCAACGGATGGTCTTCCAACACCTTGCCTCGAGCCGTGTGGTCACGGACGTGCGCATAGATGCAGGCAAGCAGGTGACCATCGCCACAGCCAGTGTCAACCACAAACTGCGGCTGCTCATCGAACTTCTCGTTGTCAAAGACCAAATGCACATGGCGCAACAAATCCTTGAAGAGAGACGCATGCTGCGCACCGCTGCCGACCACATTCAGGGTTCGCTCCACATGAATCTCATCTTCATCGGGATCCAGCTCATTGAAGCCCCATCCCGGATCTTTGAACAGCAACTCGTGGAAGCGTGACAGCAAAGGTGAATACGAGGTGGGCACGTAGTAGGCATAGACTCGCTGGAGTCCCAAGTAGCCCTGTGGGGAGATGGCCGTCTTGCCGCCGGCCCGGATGACGCCGATGCCAAGCTCCTGGAAGGCTTGGCTCAGCGCCTGCCGCGCAGAGTCCTCTAACTTGAAGTCCAGGGTGTTGGCCTTGTCGCGGCCCAGATCCAGGCCCTCAGCCGTCCACCGGGCATTGTAGGTGATGGAGGTCAGCAAGGGCGAGAGCGCCATACCCTGCAGCAAAATGCTGAGACCCTTGGAGACCGACAGCTTTTTGATGTCCTGCCACAATTGCAGGCAGCAGGCCGAGGCTTCTGAAGGCACCGGGAAGGGGATCTTCAGCTCGTAGAGCGCTCGCAGCTTGGAGCCTAATGCTTCCAAGCTTGAGACCAAGCTATTCAGCTCTGGGCCTTCCACCGCCACGTAAGTACCTCAGACTCGTACGTCGACTCGTGCACATGTTTCTCTTTTTGACACATTAGCCTTCAAAGCCTGCCCTCCATCTCTTTCTTCATTTTCCTTTCACTTCCGATGGTCTTCATTTTTTGCCAACTTTCCCCCAGGCGCCGGCGTGGAAGCGCACGAAGCCCAGCACGCTGCAGCTCCTCAACGTCACCGCCAGGGGCCCCTCGCAGGCGTTGGTCTCTTTGGCGAGCTGCGGAAGCGTCTTGGGACTTCTGCAGGCGTCCAGCAGCGGAAGGAACTCCAGCAGCAGGGGCCCAACCGTCCAGCCATGGATCAGGAGAAACGCGTTCTGATTCCTCACACGCTTTTTTTCCAATTCACTTCCCCACTTCCACTTTTCGTTGCACCTTTCAGGTCACCAATGATTCAGCCAAGGCTCAGATCAATGCCAGCGTCGGACTCCGCGGAAAACAGCATGGCTGGGCTGGGATTGTGAATTAAGCTTGTCTTGCTTGCGATGTTGTATGATGTTGTATGATGTTGTGAATGTCACAAGGGCTTTGCAGCTCTTTGAGAAGCACATGTCGAGTCCTCTGGATGAAGCACCTTTGTTGGGCTTGACAGACTGGACAGCCAAAACTTGCAATGGAAGTTTTGAAGTTGTGGAGTCCCCAAGATCTGCCACAGTTCCCCAGGTTTCTATGGTCCCCTCGTCAACTACGGAAATAGAACCCCGTGCGACGCACAATAGCTTTGGGAGCTCGTTGGAGCAAGTCAAAGCAAAGCCTGAATTGTTTCGCGCGAGACAGGTCAACCGCAGAGCGTAATAACAAGTCCAGCTCACGGCTGAGAAACAGATTCTACTGTCTACCCCTCCATTTCAAATGAAAGGGTTGCTTTGAGGGCAAGCAGAAAGCAGCTGTACAAGCGGACAGAATCCCAACATGGCGGATCTGCCAATTCAGTGAAAGCGCTTCACGAACTCTGGCACGCTGTGACAACCTGTCCAGTAGCTGTCCCTGGAAGTACCTCATTGGGTGCAATTCTCTTGTGTCACAGAGTTCAAACTCCGCAATTGACTCAGCCCTTGGCTTTCAGTTGAGGCACATGGCCTGGCAAAAGAAGAAAGCGCATCACATGCCTGAGCAATTCAATTGCAATGCCGCATCCCTCGCATCCCTTCCTCGAACTTGTCCTCGAGCTGCTTTAGGCCGTCCATCACATTCGTGATGGTCTCTCCCTGAGCGACTGGATCTTCACAGAGTCGCTCTTCAGGCTTCGGCCTTGGTGTCATACTGGATGTCGCCACTTTGAAACCTCAGCTTTGCAATCCGATCCAGGTGAGCCAAGCTGTGTCCCCAGCTTCATCGTCTTCTTGCCACTTTCTGTTAGTCTGTTCACCATCTCCACCTGGCCGATTCTTTGACTTTGCCTTGCATCTTGTGCGACTTGAGCCACTTGGGTGCTGGCTACGGGCATGCCCAACTCCTCTGAAGGTCTCAGCACCTGAGACTCTGAGAGCACAGCTCCACACGAGTGCACAATAGGAACTATGGCTGCCACGTTGTCGGCCAAAACCCGGAGCACAGCAGTGGAGGATTTGACGAAATCCGCCTACACTCTCTCTCCACTTTTGACATTCTGTGCTCACTTCCTTGGCCTGAGACTCTGCCGCATGCACGAAAAGACCCTCTAGTTCCTGGAAAAATCACAAGCATTGCCAAACACGGCCAAACCAAACTCACGTCCTGCGCGCTTCTGTACAATCGCGCGTTGCACGACTCCAAAATGTCCATGCAAACCTGAATCAAGCTCTCAGCAACTTCAGTGCTAACTGTACATTCCGACCTTCGTAGGAGTAAATGGGATCAGTGTGCCATGATAGTCGACAGGTTCGTCCTGAGGGATGCCATCAGCGCATTGGCTGACATCGCTTCATGTCGCACAGTCTCATTCATGTCTCCTTGAGGACCTTCACAAAGTTCCAAACAATGAACAGAACCTCGCGGTACTCGCTCTGCAAAGCCAACACTTCTCGAAACAAACGCCTGTGTCCGAATCTCCCCGCGTTGTCTCAACTCATGCATCACCTGTCGGCTGACCAAGACCGCAAGATTCTCGCGTCTCTGCGTTGGGTCTCAGTTTCTCAGTTCAGCGCTCCCAGCATGGTCTCTGTCCTGTCCTGTGGTGGTTCCAGCTGTCATACCGCAATGCCTCTGAGGCAATCACCAAGTCGCCCTTGTTGAGATGCAATGGCACAATGGCCTCGCCGGGAACATCAGTGAACCGAGTGAACTCAAATTCGTGCACTCACAGGTCCTGGTCACAAAGGCCATAGGCCAGCATGGTATAGGGCCTGGAAACATCCACTCGACTTGTGTAGTCTAGTTGAAGTGAGGATGGGACGACGGTCGCCTGTCACCATCCGTGTCACAGAACCTAAGAAATGAAGGAGTGAAGTTTGGAGAGCCAAGCCAGGTGCGAGAAAAAGGAGCAGCTTCCACGACACCTCAGACCTGCGAGGCAAGCGCCGTCGCTTCTTTTGCTTTCGTGTGCTACAGCCCGAACCCGGTAACCCGCAGCTCTTGCGACGCAAACATACGATGGGCCCAGATGTTTGAGCCCGCGAGCTTGCCTACCTTGCAAGAAGTTCACCCTGTCTAACACATCGGCATGGGCGCACTGTTCCAGGGACTCGCGTATTCTGCCGCACACTTGCTTCCTGACCTGACCGATTCGGAGATGTCACCCTTCTTTCCGGGCCAAAAGCCAAGCGCCCAGCCTCGTCGTCCATGGGCGCTTCAGTCCGGGGCCTAAGTGAGGCACTTCAGGCACTTCAGGCACGGGGCACGCAGGGAAAACACGCTCACGTCCAAGGCTCTCGCCAGGCGCCGCTGGAAATCAGGTAGAGATTGGCCGGCAACTTGGAAGGCGCCAGCTTGGCCCGGGTAGCTTGGCCCGGCTTGGCCCAGCTTGGCCCGAGGCCCGGGTGGGGTTACGTGTCTTTCAGTTTCAATGGAAGTCTGAGCTTGTGACCGCAGGGTTGTGGTCTCGCAGCCTCACGGCATGCTCCATGACCTGGGCGCCGTTGCTTCACGTGGACAAGCCTCGACGCCTCGACTTGGTTGCCGGACATCAAACTTCGAGGACCAGAGCCAACTGGTGAGACCAGAGGCTCTCTTCTCCTCGGGGGAAAGCTGAGCTATGGCTAAGCCCCTTGGGCTTTGCGGCTAGGCCACTGCGGACTGAAGCAGGCGGAACACGCCGCCAAACCTCCATGCGGAACTCGCGGAACTGGAAACTCAAAAGAAACACAAAGACGCACGACTCGCCAACCATTCACTCAGCACCAAACAATGACTCTACCTCGGATTCAGACACTCATGGACAGCGCCAGTCTCTCGGAGAGTTCTCTCGTGCCTGCCTTGGACGAGGCGGCATCAACACCTCCCAGCAGCCGCTTGGTGAGGTCCTGTCTCATGCAAATAGACATGAATGTAGGTGTCATAGGTGTCTACAAACATGGCTCTGCATTGGTTTTTACATCTGGCTCTATCTGGTTCGCTGAGCATCAGCACAGCTGTGACCATCCAAGGCAAGCGCGCCCTCTTCAGCGAGGTCCATGATCAACACCTCTCAAGTTGAAAGATGGACAGAAAGTCAGCACTGGGAAAACGACAGTTGACAGCTCTATCCTCAGGCACCAACTGTCAACTCTGGGTGTTTGCCCGCATAGAAGCTTGACCTCAAGCTATGCAAGGCAGCACTCTTGTTGGACAAGCAAGAGATGCTTGGGCTGCGTACATCTGGTACGCCAAGGTCGTTTTACCGGTGTGGCCGATGTGACCTTGACACTTCCCTTGTAAGCATCGTGACCATGCAAGAAACTTGCATGGCAAGTGGCTAGCAAATACATGAGAGCTTTGGAGCGGCATTGCGCCTGCACCTGTGAAGATTCTCACATGTGTGCCGCTCGCACTCTTCTCCAGCCTGTGCTCACAACGGGAAGCCGAGTGAATTGGCGAATGCTTTGAGCCAAGGCCGTGCGTCTTTGGCAAAAGTGCAGAGGCTCTTTCAGGACTCAGCTTCCGGCTCAACACGTCGCGTCGTTGCATTTGGAGAGTGCTTTTAGCTTTTCGTGCCCGCACTATCCAGAGCCTTTGGCGATCGCGCGTTGCCTTTGGCGCGACAGCGCGGCATCAAGTCAGTCGTTGAAAATGTCCTGAAGCCAAGGACCAAGGACATTGTTTCTGGAAAAGGGTACGTGTCACATGTCCTTCATGGGCGGACCTTCCTTGATGAGCTCTGGATCAACCTCTTCGTGCCGTGCAGCCTTGCCAACTGCAGGCAGAGTCGGTCGCTGCCTCCATCCACTAAATATATGTATATGTATATATGCAACCCCGCAACCCACAAACCCTGGTTTTACTGCCTTCTGGGGATGATAAATCTAGAAACTAGAGATTTAAACTCTCAAAACTGGGTTCCCAAAGCCTCATAATTTGGAGCCCTGAGTCCTCCGAAATGTCCCAATATGATACCCTTTCTAAATAGGCCTTTACTTCAAATATTTTGCCAGGATACAGGTTTCCAACATGTATGTTCAATTACAGATACACAAATCCTTTTCCAAGTAGGAGTTGCATGAAAATGTGAACATAACTTCGGGCAAACTCCAACATCTCTATAACAATAGAAATTAGATAGGAGTTTATTCCCAAATATAGTCTAAGTGTTAAATATCATCTAACACGAACCCAATTCAACTAGCTTCGATAAAGAATAGAAAGTACTTCTCAAATATAATTCATCTTAAATATGTGTAAACACACACACATATATATATATATGTATACATACACGCATATAGTACCCCTAATGATCCTGGGCCTCTTCGTGCAATACTATAAAATACAGTGCTTTTGAGACCTTAGATTACACAAACAACTTTCCTGAGTCAATCCTGGCCAAACCCAAACAACATTCAAGCTCTTCTAAAATTTCAAGTGCTTTGAGGATTCAATGTTGAGGATTGCACAAACAGTAACTTTCCTGAGAATCATCCATCCTGGTGAACCCCTAAAAACTTTCAAGTTGTTCTAAACCTCGAAAGTCTTTTACCACTGCATTGAAGATTCAAGATTGAAATCTTCCACAGACTGCTTTTCCGAGAATCTTGTCCTCTTACTTTGAACACAGAATTTGCGGGAACTTAGAGGGTTGCAGATTATGTGGATATCACTGCAGATGGGTGCGCATACTTGGTTGCAGGAGTATGCATTGAACACCTAGAGCCTTGGGACAACGCTGTTTGCTTTTTCTTGCTCTTTTGTTTCTTTGTTCCTTAAAAAACAAATGAATCTGGGATTAAAGATTCAAGATTCCAAAAAGACTTCCTCAGATTCTTGAATATTGAATCTTGAAACCCGGACATTTATTTATTTATTCATTTCTCAGTTTTTTAAAATCCAGCGTTGTCCTAACACTCTGAGATGGATGCAGACTCTGTCAGATAGCAGATATTGATATCTTTACTTACATTACATATGTTTGTATGTATGTAGATATATATATATATATATATGTGCGTAATATATACATATGGCAGCCCCCACCCCCCCCCCCCCCCCCCCCCCCCGCCAATTTTTCCACAAGACCAAAGGCATAACACACTGGATAAACACAGCTCAAGCTCACCAAACCAAGGTCTATGGGGGGTACCGTATCTATCTATATATATATATGTGATTCGGGCACGAACCTGTGCCCAGGCAATGGGGTAAACAAGCCACAAAGAAAGGTTCCCCAAAAGCAAACCAATCCCCGGTCCCAAAGATCAGGGTTTCCCCACACCAGAGAACAACAACCAAAAGGGAAATCCCAAAACAAGTAAACAAGTACCCGCAACCTTGATCGACGATGAACCGCACGGGCGGACCCCACCAATCTGCCCCGGGCCGATGTCTCTTTCTCCACCGACACGAAGGTGATCGACGCGGGGACCCGGCGACGCTCATCCGAGGCGCGACGGACCCGCAAACTTGAGCCAAACACCACAGGTCAGTCACTATCGCGACATCCCTGGTGATGAAATAAACCATGGCTAATCCGCCGACCCCTTCTCCTCAAAGGGGGAGGCGCACGGGAAGTTACAGCACAAGTCCAAGGTTGGTTGGTAAATAAGCATAGCCGAAGATTCAACATTATCAGCGTAAGCAATACCGTCATCGTAGCAGAGGGTGCGTAGCCATGATTATCATCATGACTGTTGGTGATGCAGAAGATGCACGATGATGGTTATCGCCCATGATGACGATGACGATGATGATGATGCTGATGATGACGATGGTGATGATGACGATGATGACCACAATCATGGTGATGATGACATGCTCATCGTCATCACATCATCATCGTTGTGACCTGATTGGAGATGTATGATTATCATCATGACTGCTGGTGATGCAGAGGATGCACGATGATGGTTATCATCCATGATGATGAGGATGATGATGACGATAATGACCACCATCAGGGTGATGATGACATGCTCATCATCATCACATCATCATCGTTGTGACCTGATTGGAGATGCAGAGGATGCGTAGACATGATTATCATCATGACTGTTGGTGATGCAGAGGATGCACGATGATGGTTATCATCGATGATGGTAACGGTGATGATGACGAGGACGATGACGAGGATGATGCTGATGATGATGACGATGACATGATGATGATGATGATGACACGCTTGTCAGTATACCACATCATAATCGTTGTCGTCCTTATCTTGTTTATTTAGGTTTCAAGGGTAGCGTTAGACCCGATTGGAGATGCAGGGTGCGTAGTCATGATTATCATCATGACTGCTGGTGATGCAGAGGATGCATGATGATAGTTATCATCCATCGTGGTGACGGTGATGATGCGTAGACATGATTATCATCATGACTGTTGGTGATGCAGAGGATGCACGATGATGGGTATCATCGATGATGATAACGGTGATGAGGACGATGACGATGACAATGATGATGATGACACGCTTGTCATTGTATCACATCATAATCGTTGTCGTCCTTATCTTTTTTACGTACGTTTCAAGGGTAGCGTTAGACCCGATTGGAGATGCAGAGGGTGCATAGTCATGATTGTCATCATGACTGTTGGTGATGCAGAGGATGCACGATGATGGTTATCGTCCATGATGACAACGGTGATGATCACGATGATGACGATGATCACGATGATGATGATGATGACGATAACGACCACCATCATGGTGATGATGACACATCATCATCGTTGTGACCTGATTGGAGATGCAGAGGATGCGTAGACATGATGTTGTCGCCTTATCTTTTTGATATACGTTTCAAGGGTAGCGTTAGAGCCGATTGGAGATGCAAAGGGTGCGTAGTCATGATTCTCATCATGACTGTTGGTGATGCAGAGGATGCACGATGATGGTCATTGTCCATGATGACAACGGTGATGATGACGACGATGACGAGGATGATGCTCATAATGATGATGACGATAATGACCACCATCATGGAGATGATGACACGCTCATCATCATCACATCATCATCGTTGTGACCTGATTCGAGATGCAGAGGATGCGTAGACATGATTATCATCATGACTGTTGGTGATGCAGAGGATGCACGATGATGGTTATCATCGATGATGATAACGGTGATGATGACGAGGACGATGACGAGGATGATGCTGATGATGATGACGATGATGATGATGATGACGATAATGACCACCATCATGGAGATGATGACTTGCTCATTATAATCACATCATCATCGTTGTGACCTGATTGGAGATGCAGAGGATGCGTAGACATGATGTTGTCGTCCTTATCTTTTTTATATACGTTTCAAGGGTGACGTTAGAGCCGATTGGAGATGCAGAGGGTGCGTAGACATGATTATCATCATGACTGTTGGTGATGCAGAAGATGCACGATGATGGTTATCGTCCATGATGACAACGGTGATGATGACGATGACGATGATGATGATGCTGCTGATGATGACGATGATGATGATGACGATGATGACCACCATCATGGTGATGATGACATACTCATCGTCATCGCATCATCATCGTTGTGACCTGATTGGAGATGTAGAGGATGCATAGACATGATTATCATCATGACTGTTGGTGATGCAGAGGATGCACGATGATGGGTATCATCGATGATGATAACGGTGATGATGACGATGACGATGATGATGATGACACGCTTGTCATTGTATCACATCTTAATCGTTGTCATCCTTATCTTTTTTTATGTACGTTTCAAGGGTAGCGTTAGACCTGATTGGAGATGCAGAGGGTGCGTAGTCATGATTGTCATCATGACTGTTGGTGATGCAGAGGATGCACAATGATGGTTATCGTCCATGATGACAACGGTGATGATGACGATGATGACGATGATCACGATGATGACGATGATGATGATGATGACGATAATGACCACCATCATGGTGATGATGACATGCTCATCATCATCACATCATCGTCGTTGTGACCTGATTGGAGATGCAGAGGATGCGTAGACATGATGTTGTCGCCTTATCTTTTTGATATACGTTTCACGGGTAGCGTTAGAGCCGATTGGAGATGCAAAGGGTGCGTAGTCATGATTCACATCATGACTGTTGGTGATGCAGAGGATGCACGATGATGGTCATCGTCCATCATAACAACGGTGATGATGACGACGATGACGAGGATGATGCTGATGATGATGATGACGATAATGACCACCATCATGGAGATGATGACACGCTCATCATCATCACATCATCATCGTTGTGACCTGATTGGAGATGCAGAGGATGCGTAGGCATGATTATCATCATGACTGTTGGTGATGCAGAGGATGCACGATGATGATTATCATCGATGATGATAACGGTGATGATGACGAGGACGATGATGAGGATGATGCTGATGATGATGACGATGATGATGATGATGACGATAATGACCACCATCATGGGGATGATGACTTGCTCATCATCATCACATCATCATCGTTGTGACCTGATTGGAGATGCAGAGGACGCGTAGACATGATGTTGTCGTCCTTATCTTTTTTATATACGTTTCAAGGGTGACGTTAGAGCCGATTGGAGATGCAGAGGGTGCGTAGACATGATTATGATCATGACTGTTGGTGATGCAGAAGATGCACGATGGTTATTGTCCATGATGACAACGGTGATGATGACGATGACAATGATGATGATGATGCTGATGATGACGATGATGATGATGACGATGATGACCACAATCAT